CTGAGTTCTTTATCTCTTCATTTGATGTTTTAGGTTTTCAGGATTGTTGTATTCTCTGTTCGGCTTAGTTTTTCGGATCTTTGCTGTGGAGGGACAGCATGGTGCTTCCGCCTAGAGTGCCATTTTGCCGGACCACCACCTTTTTCTTGATGTCCCATTTTCTTTCAAATTACCTGATATCTAATTAGAATAAAGGTTCCTCTCTGGAGAAAACAGCTGGCTACTACTACCATTACTCTTACACTTATCCACTAAATGTAAAAATAAGAAATTTATATGCACAGCAGTTACTAAGGAATAATATTGCAAAGTATACATTTAATAAGGGTCACAGAACAAAATACATAAAAGATACAGCAGTAATCAATCTTTATCATAATGGAAATATTAAATACGCCAGTATACAACTATCCTGTTAGCACTTATCCATATTATGATTTTTCCATTTTGCTCAGGCTTTCCTTCTCCTAGTCAAACAACGGATTTTTCTTGTCCTCATAGCAACTTAAATTATCAGTACCAATGGAGGGTATTATGGTCAGCAGCAGATAATCCAAATAGTTTGTACTGGGACTACATCTTTTTTTTTTTTTTTTAACAATCATCTGGATATGAGTCACACGAATTAATTTATAGCCCCTGAATCTCTACAAGATAGATGGAAGGAAGAGAAATAAGCATCAGAGTATTTGAAGAATTTGAACCAAGGTTAAATATTAAGGATAACTGAATGTGGATTATATTCTTCCAAACATTTTAATTTCATGTGCTAATTTGTTTATAACCAGACACAGGAACTAAATACAAAACAGAACGCAAGACTCTTAATTCTAGTTTGTAATTTTTTTTTAAAAAACTGTTTATTAAACCTTTTACAGTAGGATTCATTTTTTAAATATAAGTACAAAAAAATTCTGAAAGGATTGGTACCAAAATGTTATCAATGGGTAATGAATGGTATTAGAAGTGATTTTCCTTCTCTGACTTCTTTAGTTTTTCTACAATGAACTGCATTGCTTTTAACCTTAAATTATTACACTTCCTTTTCCACCAATTTTATCACAGTTTATGGCCTATCAGCTAGGATCTTGGACAACTGTTGATGCTAATCTTGTTTCCTGGGTTTTACTTCAAATTAGTCTAAACTTTTTCTACAATAATTTTGTTAAAGGTATTTCCTATTAATCAGAGTTAAAGTGTGACCTTTGATAGACTTAATTTTAGATGAAAATTATGCACAAAAAGTAAAGTGTCCCATTACTGGATCCTCAGTTAGAAAGTGAACACACAGCCTAAGACAAATCATAGGTCTTACTACTTTTCTATTTCCTGGTGTGAAAAAATCGTCAAATTTCTTTTTACAAGGGTATACATAATACATTTTTTTTTTTTTTTGGTGGCAATTCCATCCTCAGTTAATCAATTCAGATTTCAATTACGTAGAATTTTGATAATTCTAAAAATGGCAAAGCTAAATTTTCTCTTGCCATTATCTAGCAAAAAACAAACTGCAAAATTTCAAATATGTTTAATCTGGTAAAAATGAGCATCTACTTTAATCAAGGGCATTTCATTAAAAAAAAAAAAGTATTGCTATCTAGTCATCAGTTTCTCATTACATTACTTCAGCCTCTAAATGTTCAGAAGAAACATAGCATTCACATAATACTATAGTCCATGAAAAGATTATATTCTTTTATTGTTTGTTCATACGTTAAGTTTCAACTTTCAATAATAAAAGTCAATAAATTTGATTCCGTAATCATAAAAACTTGCTTTACACATTATTTACATGTTGCTGAAGTCTACAGTCATACAAAACATCACAAGGATTTAACTGACTCTATGCACAGTACCATCACACACAAGAGGGAGCTAGTCAAGTAACATACATTCAAAGATTAAACTGTGGATATGCACAGTGTATTTGGCACTGTTCATTGATATTGTAATGTCTTCCTTCCAGAGACAGACATTCGTAAGCCTTCGTCCCAATATGTTGGAATTTGTTATTCACATCAAAAACCAGCTTTCAAACTTTGAAATAGTAATTAGTTTTAAGAAACATAAAACACAATCAGACGTGGGAATGGAATTCAAACCGGCCAAATTCTTGCTATGTTCCAAAAAGCTGCCATCCGTTTTAAGTAGGTTTATTTTAATTTGGTAAGTTTTTCACTATGGGCAGTGTTAAGAAGAAACAATTTAAAGACACTATCTTTCAAAAAAACATGAAGACTAACAACATTTTTCTTTAAAATGATCCATTTTTCTTGAGAGCTCAGAAAGCCCTGAGGACACATAACTTGTGATGATTCTGGTAGGAATTGTAGGCAGATAATCATTAATGATCAACACCATTCAAGTTGGGGAGATTGTACTAGCAGTTGAGCCCATGAGAAGATCTGGAATGCCTCCATCTGAATTCAGAACCCTTTAGGTTTTAAGGGTCTCTTCCTAAGAATATTACATGCTCAGGCCAGAGCTTATAGATTTATTTTGATGTGTAAAAATGACATTATTACAAAATAGGAGAAAAAGAACAAAGACTCAAAGATTAAACCTTTAGCAACTTGGGCTATATCCTAGTGTATAATTCATTTCACTAACTTCATTTTAATGAATATTAAATCCCTTCACTTCAACAGGGCCTGTTAAATTTAATTCATCAAAGTCATACATACTCCAGAGTATTTATAAGACATTTATATCTACCATATTTATAAGAGGCATAAATTCAGTCTTAAACTAAGGCCAAAAAAGCCTCAATAGAACATGGATCACAGTAATGGGAAACAAACCAAAAATCCGCTGATAAAGTTTAGAGATACGCTGTAGATTTACACAAAATATTTAGCAATAAATTATGACTTTAAGAGAAATCTTATGATGTACAAAGGACTATGAAAGGACTGAGTGCGAAGTAATGTCACTGGACCAAAATTTAGTTTAATCATTTTTATTTCAAGTATATTCTGAAAATCATAAATGGACTTTTGTAATCCAAAGTCAAAATATCTATTCCTCTTAGCTTCAGAATTTGACAAGGTTCCAGATCATGCTTTCCAAATCCAGTCTTCTTTGCTATTTTACAGACTTCTGAGACCTAGAATTTAAACTATTCTATTTTAAATGTACAAGTTTACAACTACTGTACACTTGCTGATAGGAGAGTTTTCTCAGAATACTCCACCAAATATAAAGAATGGTTTCTATGCAAGGATAAGCAGTGAGGGAAGAAATATTAAACACCTATCAAAAAATCATTTATTGATTTTTAACAGTAACAGAAAGTGATGTTCTCTATCATAAAGGAGAACACACAAAATTAATTTAAATGATTTTTGTAGACTTTGGTTTAATCTTTTACTCCCTACACAAGCCTCTATCCTATTTAAAGAACTTTTATACAAAGTCACCATCAGGAGTCACTGAGTAAAAATCCCAGGTATTAACATGGTCCTAAAATGTGCTATTCCAAAGAGGAACAGGTGACTTTTGAGAAAAAGGGCTGCCTTGATAACTTCTATCAAATGCTGATTTTAAATAAAAATAGTTAATGAAAACATTTTTCAAATCATGTTTGGGTACCATCTAACACATTGCCTGCCAATAAAACAAAACAGGAAATCAAAAGTTTCATTCCCATTTTAGCAAATTTTCCACCTTTACTTTTAAAATTACAGCTATTCACCTTTGACCATCAAATTCAATACTTCAGTTTTTTTTTAATTATGCATTTCAGTATAATAAGACCTCTCTTTAAATTTACCTTCACAACCCAGAACATGGACACCAGAGCAGCACTCTCAAGTCACAATGTTTAACCATAATGAAATGAAATGGAAACGGACGGATATCTGAAGATAGGTAGTCCCTCTGCTCCAAAGGTTTGCAAGTTTTTAACATGTGAGCAACACAGAACTCCGTTCCTTTGGATTTTCTTCATACTCATTATGCTTACAATTAATAATCAACATATTATTCTTAAAAATTAAGTTTGGTCACTAGGAAAGACTGAAAATTATTCCCTTTTCCCCAAAACAACCATCAAGCAGCACTAATCACCCCATCCTCTCCCCACAAAAACAGGGAAGCAGTTGGGGCTGAAGCCTTTAAAGTTTGAAATTTCAAATCCTGAACGTTACTGCTAGTTGTTCAAAGTTGCAGGTCTATGCATTTCCTTCTCCAGTACTCCCCTCAGTTGTAAGTTTATTTTCATACACACACACACACGTGTGTGCATGTGCACACACTCACTCACTCTCAAGTAAGACACTTTTTCGTGTTTGTTGATAAATTATGAGGATTACGGACTGGGTGTGTGCAGGATTTCATAGGTGCTTTGTAAACATCAGAGTCATTTAGGTCCTTTTCTCCAAAAGCCCAAAATCAAACTACGCAACCAGGGATCACTACTTTCCCAGACGCTGTTCACAGGCTGCATACTGACGAAGAGCAGAGAAAAAGTCCTCATAACTGATGTTTAGGTGGGAAGGCAAAGAGCTGAAAAGAAAGCACAGGAGAAAAAAAAGCAATTAGATGATATATTGTAATTTGGTGGGGGGAAACCAGTAGGATAATAACCAAAAAGAGGTTAAGGACAGAAGAAAGTAAATCATAAGCATTGTTATGTGCCGTCAAGTTGATTCCAACTCACACCAAAACATTTCTACTAAAAGATGTGAAACACTTCAAGTAAAGAGTAATCTGCCCTTCCACAAGAGAAAAGCAACTTCTAATGAGTTAGAGATTCAGAACCTATTAAAGCATTTACCAGTTACCAGTTGCTGTCGAGCTGATTCCTACTCATGGAGACCCCATGTGTTGCAGAGTAGACAGAACTGCAAAGGGTTTTCATGGCTGTGACCTTTTGGAAGCAGACTGCCAGGCCTTTCTTCCGAGTCACATTTGGTGGGTTCGAACAGCCAACCTTTCAGTTGGTAGCTGAGTGTTTAACTGTCTGTACCACGTAGGGACTTATCCTAGATTAATGCAAAGCTGGAACACTATTTACAAAGGTCTTGCTCAAATCCACTTTAAGGACTCATCTTGGTCAGAGTAAAACCAGTACTGCTTGAGCTGTTCATGAAAGTCAGGCTTAACACTGGACAGAGCAGCACAGCATCCCCACATGGATAATATACCAGAGCAATGTGGTGAGCAATCAGTAAATGACCAATATTTCCAATTGCTCAAGGGAGTAATTACAGTGTGAAGACAAGCACTTTAAAGACAGAGTGGACATACCTCCAGAGGGTTTCCCTTCAAGTATTTAAAATATTTAAAATAATTTTCAATAATTAACATGAAATAAAATCTCTAATTTACACAGCTTTATAATGAGTCTTGGGAAAAACTGGATCAGAGCCAAACACATGGTCAAAGTACAAGAGTCACATTCAGAGTTCAATAGTCACATACACCAAAAGACAAAGAACTACCATGACAGAACTCCTGCCTAACCCTGTGATTCTCTCCACGTATGTTCCTTTCTTTATCATTCCTTTGACTGCCAGGAATTCTGAAACATGTCACCTACTTCCCTCTATTTCCTTATCATTTCTTAATAATCCCCGCTATCTATCTTCTTATTCACTCTACTGAAATGATTTCCTTAAAGGACACATTAGGTGACATTCTTTGCTACAGCTTGCTTTGAATGACCTCCTCAAACTACACACTTTCCAAAATCCTCCTCATTCAGCCCATCTTATCAACAGCCTCATTGTCTATCAATCCTCAAGAAGCACTTAGTGCCACTACCCATCAGTGTCTCAGAAGCTTTCTGGTTGTTTCCAAGTCTGTTTTATCAGGGGTCCAGCCTCCTTCTACTTCTCCATATTGTGATTAAGACATATTCACAGTGCTTACAGTCTGATGGGGGGAGACAAATATAGAGCAAATCTCCACATAACGTGGTTAAGAGTTATGACAGATATATATACACACAGTTCCATGGAAGAGCCCGTCATGTGCTAGGTATCTGATGTCCATTATCAGATTTAAATCGTTAACTCCACATTAAAATGTCCATTGTACAAATTGTTGTTGTTAGACGCCATCAAGTCAGTTCCAACTCATAGAGACCTTATGTACAGTGGAACAAAACACTGCCCTATCCTGCGCCATCCTCACAATCATTGTTATGACTGAGCCCACTGTTGCAACCACTGTGTCAATCCATCTCGCTGAGGTCTTCCTCTTTTTCGCCAACTCTCTATGTTGTACAAATAGAGATTTTTAAATAATTTTTCAAAAGTCATGGTACTGAGCTGCACAGCCAAGATTCAAACATGCTCTAGCTGTTCTAAAACACATACTCTTCCCCCCAAAACACTCCCAACTTCACAAGGTATCACTGCTGCCATTTGTAAATAAAGTTTTACTGGAACACAGTCACAGCCATTTGTTTATGTATTATTTATTCACATATTATTTACATTTATTTACATATTATTTACAGAAAAAGTTTGCCAAACCCTGTTCTAAATAATCAGTTTCATTCTCATCACTATATTCCTTATCACTTCTCCTCTAAATTGTAGCTATGGCCTCTTTGTCTTTTGACCTCAACCTTTCCCAAATTCAATCCACTTAGTGCACAGCTGCCAAACAACAAAATCAACATTCTGACATTATTCACAGGCTCAGTGGTTTGCTTCTCCAAACAAAGGAACACACTCCTTATGCTGACATTCAAAGCCTTCTAAACTTCAACACCCCCAAACTATCTTATTTTGCCTCATACTGCTACCCAATACTAACTCTCTGCTCTTGTGTGGCCAGTTCCATCACTATGTCTTTAAAATGCCATGTTCATTTTTCCTGCCCCCACCCACCTTTTCTTGTCTTCCCTACCAATCCTCTATGCTTTCCCACTTCTCTAATTAAATAAATTAGACCCAAATCACACCTCTTCTCTAGAATCAACAACTCTGGTCAATAGGGATAGCACTCACTTCTGATCTCCTATGGTAACTGGTGTCAACACCAAACATTTGCACAACCATACACTCTCGTATCTAACTCATTTAGATATGCTTTATTTTACCACTGATACTGTGAAATACACAGGGAAAGGATTCTGTATTATAATTCTTTGGGAATTCCTACCACAGCTAGTATAGTGCTGGGCTCAAAGAACATGCTGAATTGGATCCAACTTAATGCACTTCTAATTACTTACACAATCTCAGTCAATCTGATGTGCCAGGGAAGAAAGCCTAATGTGCTGTCCACAGGACCAAACTTCAATACTAAATCAGGATCAGGGAAACCATTTGAACCTTGGGAATAAAGAAATATATATTAACTTAACATGCATTGCTTATTTAATCTAAACCAAAACCAAACCAAATCCATGGCTGTGGAGTCAATTCCAACTCATAGCGACCCTCAAGGACAGAGTAGAACTGCCCCATAGGGTTTCCAAGGAGTGGCTGGTGGATTCAAACTGCCAAAATGACCAAAGGCAAAGTCTGTTATTCATATTGGCTTCTTATGCTTTGAGCATCTGTTTTCCTCAAAAGCTTTATTGTATGTTTGTATGCCCCTCTGACCCCACTCCATAACATATACTTTAATAACAATTCCAAATATAGAAGTCTTTTCAAAAGTCCATTTACTGGATTGATTACCTGAAAAGGAGGGGCAGCCCATACCTACCCTAAGCCCTATGGGTACCCCTAAATCCTGTCTATCTTTCAAGACTCAGCTTCAGCGTTTTCTTGGCATCCTGGGAAGGACACTGCTCTACAATTGTTTATTCTGGCCACACAGCCAAATAATTTCAGAGCTGAAAACGACTTTAAAAAGTGTCTACTCTCCTTCTCTCCCCTAAGTCCCTTATTTACACCTAAGAAGCCAGAAAGGCCAACTCCTATACACAAATATATACACAAAACAAATGTTTTCACTGTTCTCCAGAGCCCAAGCCCCCTCATGAGGGAAAAGGGGAGTGAACACCTGCCTCAACAAGAACATGTCCATTTTTTATGTTTTACAAACTAGATTCCATGAGAACTGGCTTGGGGAAAAAGGAATCGGGACATTTCAAAGGCTTAAAAATAAAAGTTTGAAAAGCCACTGGTAAAATAAAAAAGACACTATAATTTGAGAGGCCCAGATTCTAATAGTTTCTAATAATCTCAGTCTGTCACTAACTTGCTTGTCACGCAACCTCTCCAGGGCTTAATTATTAAGTAAGGAAACTGGATTAGACAAGCCTATCCAGCAGTAATAGTAAGGAATTATTTCCACAACAAAGTCTTTTAAAAGTCCACCTTGGTAGCATAAATAGATTAAGGAAAGGAACACATATTCCTCTGCTAGCTAAAAAGAAATCCTCTTTAGTAAAAATAATAACAAGAAGGGACTTCTGACTTTGGTGGTGTGAAGAGCGCAATTATCCTCTCTATAAAAAAAACATGTATGAAAACGGACAAAATCAACCATTTAAGGGCAAAGGCAGAGTTCAGGTGAGAACAACAAGAGTCCACGGCACCTTGCCTAGAACTGCTCTCAATCCTAACCCCTTTCCCCCAGTCAACTGGAGAGAACTGTAGTTCTACCAGCATGGTGCTGTCTATAAAAACCACTAGATTTGCTGCTTGTTGCCAAAAGACACAGGTTCAATTTGGGGGAGAGGGGTCCAAGATGGTGAAAATCCATAGTTTTGCCAGCTAAAAGTGATGAAGTTCACAGGGAATGAATGAGGAAAACCCACAGCTTTGCTAGCCTGCGGTTGTAGTCCCAGTTGTGACAAACAGTACAGTGTCTAGAAATTTAACAGGGAGATCCTGCAAATAAGGCTTGAAATAAGCTCTGTACACATCCATGGCTGACTGGGAAACATATGGAATGGGTGAAAAGGAAGGGCGAAAAAGGATGGCAAAAAAGCCCAGTGAAAAGCCAAAGTCAATGACACTTGAGAACCAGCAGCAACTTTAAAGGCACTCTTCCACCCCACACAGAGATCATGAAAGCCTTAGAAGTTTGAGGTGTTTGAGTACTACAGCCTTTGTGCAAATCAACAGCTGACTGCTAAGCTATGCTGACACAGGAAGTGAAACCAAAAAAAAAAAAAATCCTAAGAATCTACAAAAATCCTAGAACTATTAAGCGACTTCAGCATGGTCACAGGACACAAAATCAATACATCCACTCCTTGCTGATAGACATGGATAGGTTCCAAAGACTAGGTCATTATGTGAAATTGGCATTATGCAAAAACAGAGGATGACCACATCAGATCAAAAAGTGGAGGATGGCTACATCATTACACAAGGGCCAAATCATATTACATAACTGCCAAACCACTAAGAATCATGGCCCAGCCAAGTTAACACATAATCTTAACCATCACAGCTGACATTACTCTCACCTCACACCCTGGAGTTCATTACTGCCAGATGTACATCATTAATGTGCAAAACAGTATAAGAGTAAATTTTTTACTACTGTCATAAATGCAAAATGTCGTATAACGGGAAAGTCGATAAGTGAGGAGTAGGTGTATAAAAAAACCAATTGCATTTCCATATACTATCAACAAACAATCCTAAAATAAAATTTGAAAACCATTACCAATACCATCAAAAAAATACTTAGGAATAAATTAAACAAAAGATGTAGAAGCGCTATACCTTGAAATTATAAAACACTGTTGAGAGAAAAATTAAGACCCAAATAAATGGAGAGATACATAGTATGTTCATGAATTAGAAGACTCAATGTTAAGATGGCATTTCTTCCCATACTGATCTACAGTCAATGCAATATCTACCAAAATCTCAGCAGTTTTGTTTTAGAAATTGACAAACTGATTATAAAATTTATATGAAAAGGCAAAGGAACTTGAATAGACAAAACAACTTTGTGAAAAAAAAATTAAGTTGAAGGACTTGCACTACCTGATTTCAAAACTTATTTTAAGGTTACAGTAATCAAGAAAGTGCGGCATTATAAGGATAAACATACTGGCCAACAGAATAGAATGGAGAGCCCAGAAATAAACCCACATATTTATGGTCAACTGATTTTCAACAAAGGAGCTAAGGTAATTGAAGGGGGAAAAGACAGTCCTTTGACAAAATAGTAGTAGAAAAACTGGTATCTTTTACCTAATACCATTAAACCAAAACCAAACCCATTGCCATCGAGTCGATTCCGATTCATAGTGACCCTATAAGTCAGAGCAGAATTGTCCCAAAGGGTTTCCAAGGAGCAGATGGTGGAATTCGAACTGCCAACCTTTTAGTTAGCAGCCGAGCTCTTAACTACTCACTTTTTTTTTTTTTTTAAACACCATTAAGGAACCCCTTAAAAGACACCATTAAGAAAATGAAAAGGTAAGCTAAAGACTAGGAAAAAATATTTGCAAATCTTGTAAAGTATTTGTATCAAGTATATAAACAACCCTTAAAACTCAGTAATAAACCAACGCATTAAAAATAGGCAACATATTTGAAAATCACTTACCAAAGATAGAGATGACAAATTAGCACATGAAAAATATTCAACATCATTACTCATTAAAAAATGTGAATTAAAACCACAGTGATAAACTATTACACACCCACTAGAATGGTTAAAATTAAAGAAAAAAAAAAAAAAGCTGACAATACTTTGTATCAGCAAGGATGTAGAGAAACTGGAAACCTCATATACCGCCAGTGGGAATGTAAAATGGCACAGACACTTTGGAAAACAGTTTGGCAGTTCCTTCAAAGTGTAAATATTCACTCACTATCAACAAATTAACCCATTGCCAACCAGTCGATTCCCACTCATAGCAACCCTATAGGACAGAGCAGAACTGCCCCTTAGGGTTTCCAAGGCTGTAAATCTTTACAGAAGCAGAATGCCACATCTTCTTCCCACAGAGTGGCTGGTGGTTCAAATCGAAGATCTTTGGGTTAGCAGAAGAGCGCTTAACCCCTGCACCACCAGGGCTCTTTCACTCCCTATAAGACCTAGGAATTCCACTTTTAGGTATCTACCCAAGAGAAAACAAAACATATGTCCACACAAAGACTTGTATGAAAATGGTCATAGCAGCATTATTCAAACTGAAAACACCCAAATGTGCATCGGTGGGTGAACAGATAAACAAAATGTGGTCTATCCATACAACAGAACGCTACTCACCAATAAACAGCGATGAACATGCAACAACATAGCTGAACCTCAAAATATACTGAAAGAAGTGAGATCCAAAAGACCACACGTTATATGATTCCATTTACAGAAAAGTTCTAAAATAAGTAAAAGTCTAGTCAGACAGAAGACAAGCGGTTGCCTGGGGTTGAAAGGAGGAGTGAGGATTAACTGAAGCGAGGAAGTAACTTTTTGAGGTGATGGCATTCAGTGTTTGCTTCTGTAAGATAAATGTGTTAACTTAAGGACTATGTATATTTTCGTTTATCATGGGTCTATAACCCCTGAAAGCTACACCCATCCTCAACTTCAGCACTTTGCCATGTGCTACTTGAAAGGTCACCTTTGGGCCCCTGTGTGAACCTTTTAGGACATCTTCATAAATTAAGTCTCTGGTTAGGACTTCACAGGATCGAGAAAACAGTCCACATACCAGTAACCTCTGACCGGAGACCTCACAATGGTCTACTTTAAGCCTACTCATTTGGCTTGAATATAGCCAAGCAATGACAGAGTAGGAATAGAAGAGTAGGGTAAGAAGTAGGTAGCCAGTGTAAAGTTGGGAGTTAATGAGAACATGAGGTCAAAGAGGGACTATGCCCTGTGATGGACATGTGGCAAAGTGAAAGAAACAAAGAATAGAGAGTTAGATAAATGAATCACTTAGACAGAAAATGCATGATTAATGAGTAAGATGAATGGAGACTCTACGTAAATGAATGAAACGTAAAATGAATGTCTGAAATCATATGGCTATAGAAGCCATCACTGGACATTAATTTTTTAGATGTACTGCCTTTCTTCTGAAGGATCAAGGACAATGCTAGTAAGCAGAAGGACCATGAAGTTAAGGTAAAAAGTTTCTACAGGGGCTTGGCTCTAGGGAGAAAAAGCAAACAGAAGGCTTTTATAAACAGCTTAAAAAAAACAAAAAACAAGGATATAATGTTGTATTTGGTATAACATGACAAATACAGTAGTATATTGGATATAAGATAAAAGAATTAAAAAAAAAAGTCATGGATAACAGTAAGATTATATCCTTGAGACTGCTCCCTAAATAGCTATTAAGTTCAAACTTATTCCTAAACAAGGAAGGGGGAGAAGGGAGTAAGGCTGACAAGTCGAAGTCCTACTTCCAAGAACATTCAAAACCCAAAGTGGGGAGAAAATATTAAGTCCTCTCCTTTCTCATTAAGTCCTCATGTAAGTGAGTGGACTACAACTTTCAATGTCTCAAAGCCATTTTCACAAATGGGTCTTTAAATCTCAGACACATAACAATTATAATGACAAACTTTTTATTTTCAAATAAGGTTTTATACTGTGAAAGGAGCCTAAATGTTCTCTTTGATACTATAACCTTGTGAGACAAAACTAAAAACATATGTGTGTGTGTACGTACGTGTGTGTGTGTGTGTGTGTGTGTACATATGACTTACTAAGTAAACTGTCTAACATATCTACATCCAAATCTGTAGATCTCTTTTGCTGCTGGGCTACTAACTGGCAAAAGTCCTGCGCAGCTCTCACAATATCTGCTTTTCCATCTTCTGGGGACAGCACCTTCACTGCTGATTGGCAATTTAAAACTGGAGGAAAAAACAAACAAGATATTTTTTTAAAAATCCTCTTCTGGATATATTTTAAAATCAGTTTTAAGAAATACTAAATTGAGAACAAAATAAACATTTCTCATTGTTAACAAGAACCTAAACTTCTCAATTTCAATATCAAAATGTACTTGGCTACTCTCCTCAGAAAGGACCCAAAATCACATTTATGTATATATGTAAATGCTGTCTTCTTTTCAAAATGTTCAAATGGACACTGTATTTGTGAATAAATTCTCTAGAAGTAGGAATTTAAACTATAGGCTAGGTAACAATTTCTATTCATCTAAAATGCCACCCTCAATCATAGCACAGTAATAATATAGGATAGAAGGGGAAAAAAATTAAGACTAGAAAAATGTTATGCTTCAGTGGAAGAATATGCATTGTCCATAGCACACATTTCCACCCAATTCTGATTCTATGAGAGCTATTTTACAATCTGGCTCCTGGTTATTCATAAGTTATATGAGAGTCATGATTTTCTGTTTCTGAAAATTATCTTTCAACAAGATTAAGAGAGAAAAGTCTAACAAATCTGATGATTAAATACAGTGACAGTAAGGACTAAAAGAGCAAAATGAATGAAAGACAAAATTTGCCTTGAAATGCAAAACACACATCTGCATACGTTGCTTATTTATCTTACCTTGATCATCTTTGTCATTGCTATTTGCAAACTCTGGTGAATATTTGGAAAAATCTAATCCCAGAAGTTCCTGCTGTTGTTTTAAAATTTCATCCATTAATCTGGAATTATTTCTTTTGAAAATGCCTTAAACAGACAAAAAAGTAAAAATCACAATGACGTTAATTTATCCTATTCAATAATTAACACCTACTTGTGAAAACTCTAGGTCCTGCAATGAACAAGTTCCCAATGAAGTAGTAATGACTAACTCCAAACTAGAATCTAAAAAAACAAAAAAAAAAATGACAACAAAACTTTGTTAATACAAGAGTCTAGCTTCAGGCTAAGATCAAAAAAGGACAGGAATAACTAATTAGCAGCAACATGGATATGACAGAAATTTAGACCTAGAAAGGAATTTTAAGATATTATTTACCTTTAGTTATGTATTAAGAAACTGAAACCCAACATCCCTAAGTGACTTGTCCAAGAAATTATCAATTACAGTGGTGGTCTAGAGCCCAGATCTTCCTGAGTCCCAGTCTAATGGTTTTCCCTGCAGATTTACTATGTGGATTAAATATTAATACCTCATTTTGAATATTTTTTTTACTCCTAAGAGGAACTAATATGAATTATGTAAAAAGTAGAGAATAAGAGACAAAGGCAACAAAATCAACAATTAGTAAATTCAATGGAAAATGTGCATTGTCTACAGCACACACTTCATCTACCTATCAAATTCTGATTCTATGAAAAAGCAAGGAAATAAACTGCATATATAGTGTTTGATCCTCCAACTCTACACAGAGAGGTTAAAACTTTAACCAACATCATATAATTAAGAAAGATAAAGGAACGATGTAGCATACATTTAAGATAAAACTAATGAAGAACTTCAACTAAAAACAAGCAGTAGGTTTCTGGTTGTTTTCAAAAACGCAGCATTCGAGTGGCCACTGCCTTTTTTCTCTTTATCAAGTGACTTGAAAGCAGTTCACAGATTAACTAGAAGAGAGAATAAAATAAATATATATACATAATATAGCACAAAATATGATATATGCAAGTGGCAAGTTGGTAGTGTATGTGCAACAGCAATTCAAAGATAAAAGCAGTCTTCTTTGGTGGGGAAAGGCTTTGCTAATAATGCAAATAAGGTGCATGGCACCCTTGCGGGGATGGGACCATGCAAATAAGGCGTATGGAACCCTAACAAAGGGATTGGTCAGTTTTGCCATCCCACTAGGCTTAAAATGAGCTATCCCTGAGTTGGCAAGAGGGAAACTCACTACCACCACCAAGAAGAGAGGGAACGGAGCATGTCCTTTGGACCTGGAGTCCCTGCGCTGAGAACCTCCTAGCCCCAAAGGACAGAGAGAGAGAGAGCTATAACACCAGAGATGGTGCAAGACAGCAAGAAGCAGTGGCAGAAAAATGGTGGCAGCAGAACCCGTGCTAGACAGCACAGTGGGCTTCCTGGCCCACAGAGGAAGGCAGTTACAGTGGGTGTGCCAACCCATGGAGCCACAGAGCTGAGAGCCTTCAGGTAGGAGGCTTCCGGGCGGAGTGAGGTGCCCCAGGTACTTATTGGCAGAGCAAACAAGCTTTGCATCACTTGCCCAAGTAGGGTAGAGGCCGAGCTCAGGGGCCCAGAGCCAGAGAGAGCTGGCTACAGGCACGACTGAGAAGAGGCTATCCTGACTGAACAACTGTATCCTGAGTTGTTTCTGATACTGAATTGCAATCTGTTACTTCCCTAATAAACATCATAACTGTGAGTATGGTCTGTGAGTTCTGTATGGCCATTGCAACGAATTATCGAACCCAGCAGAGAAGTAGAGAGTGCTGTGGGAGGCACAGCTGGTGTCAGAACTGGTAAAAAGGTTGGAAAGAGGAGGTATGTCTGAACTCCACCTCATAGGAATCAGCCTTGGACTGTTGATCTCAATACTCCTTCCCTCTTGTGAAGTTAGAGGAGGTCAGATGCCCCTGCCACACCATTTTAACACTCCTCTTCTCCTTAAAAGCTTGTGTTTTGATTTTTTTTTTTTTTAATATGGTTAAGAATCTTACTTGTTTTGCTCGCAAAGGCCCAGCACAGTGCCTGGCACAGAGCAGGCACTCAACAAGTAAATGTCTACTGAAAAGAGACAACAGATCAGGTAGTGAGATGTAGATATATAGTTGGGAGCCATCCTCCTTAAGGTAAAAGCTGTATGTACAAGGAAGAATGAGGTCTCTCAAAGATAAGAGAACTTATCTAAAGAGAAAAGCAGAGCTAAGAATGTGGCTGCTTATAAAAGCCCACAATCATAAGACTCTAAGCTTAGAAATACTAAGTAAACATCTTTGTAATAGCCATATCCAGAGTAAGATTAAATAAAAAATATGTTCCTAATCACACATTAACAAAACTTTAAAGAAATGTGATCAGTATCCTTTTTGAGCAAGTAATGATGAAGATCAAAGACTACAGCCTTCAGTATGGATTAGACCTCAACATAAAGAAAACAAAAATCCTCACAACTGGACCAATAAGCAACATCATGATAAATGGAAAAAAGACTGATGTTGTCAAGGATTTCATTTTACTTGGATCCACAGTCAACACCCATGGAAGCAGCAGTCAAAAAATCAAATGATGCACTGCACTGGGCAAATCTGCTGCAAAAGATCTCTTTAAAGTGTTAAAAAGCAAAGATGTCACCTTGAAGTCTAAAGTGCACCTGACCCAAGCCATGCATGGTATCGTCAATCGCCTCATATCCGTGTGAAAGCTGGGCAATGAATAGGAAGACTGAAGAATTGATGACTTTGAATCATGGTGTTGGCAAAGAACACTGAATATACCATGGACTGCCAAAAGAAGGAACAAATCTGTCTTGGAAGTAGTACAGCCAGAATGCTCCTTAGAAGCAAGGATGGCAAGACTTTGTCTCACATACTTTGGACATGTTATCAGGAGGGACCAGTCCCTGGAGAAGAACATCATGCTTGGTAAAGTATACGGTCAGCGAAAAGCAGAAAGACCGTCAACAAGATAGATTGATACAGTGGCTGCAACAATGGGCTCAAGCACAGCAGCAACTGTAAGGATGGCACAGGACCTGGCTGTGTTTAGTTCTGTTGTACACAGGGTTGCTATGAGTTGGAACTGACTCAACGGCACCTAACAACAACAATCTACTTTTAAGAGTGGTTTTTCATTAGTTTACATCTTAACTGCATTATTCTTTTGTGGGATCTACATTTTTTCAAACCCTGCAAAATGTTAAGGTAATGAGGCTAACCAAGTGTTCTGAGCATCCATTTTGGATTACCTGAGCCTGCTGATGTTTATATTTCAAGAAGCAAACATTACACTCTTATTCACAGCATGATAATAGTTACTGTAAGAATACAGGTACAGGGATAAATGCTATGGGAATATAGATATGCAGGATACAATCATTATCCTCCATTCAATTATAAAATCCACATGAATGACACAAAAAGCATATACAACAAAACAGCATATAAATTTATGATATACGCTTATAAATGCCCTGGTGGCATAGTGGTTAACAGCTCAGCTGCTAACCAAATTGGTTGGCAGTTCAAATCCACCAGCTGCTACCTGGAAACCTTATGGGGCAGTTCTACTCTGTCCAGTAGGGTCACTATGAGTTGGAATCAACACGATGGCACCTAACAACATAACAGCAACATGCAAGTAAAGAGAAAAAAATTTTAGACCACACTTTGACCTATATCTAGGCAAAAATTATGGAAATCATATGGATTTCAAAAGTTTTCTAATTTAAAATAGAAGGTAAAATCTCCACAACACTCCTGCCAGGACATACGAATTTTTTAAACATAAAATGGTGAATCTATTTCCCATATGAACTAAGATTTATCTATTTTAATAGTAACCCACCAAGAATTCTTGCTTTTGTCTATTTGCATCACAGTGATCCCTTCCTTTGATATTCTCCAAAAAACAAAAACAAAAAAAACTCCACTTCACTTTCCACCAACGTACTCAACTTTACCTTAGTCTCCAGATTAAAACTGAAAAGCTTTTCAGGAACTTGTTCTCTCCAAGCCAATGGGTGACGTTCTTAATCACTAAAATGGTCGCTACTTTTCAGTCTTTATCCTTTCCTTCTCAACTTTTATGGAGCATTTTCTATTAATGACCATCCTGCTTCCTTCTCAATTTCCTTTCAATGTCTCAGCTTTTCTGAATGTCTTCTGGTTCAATGACCAACCTGCTTCTTAAATAGCCCCTCGTCACTTTCCACCAAGTAAGTCCTTTCCCTCCTTCCACCCCTAAGTGGACATTATTCCTCAAAGTTCCCACTTTAGCCCTTCTTTCTGTCCATGTCCTCCTCCTTCTCTCAGTCTAGTCACTCACAAGACTTCAAAATTACTCAGGACCAGGACAAGAGTAAAATGAGTAAGGCACTCAGCCCAGGTGTGAAATTTAAGGCGGTGCCAAGAAACTCAGTAATCAAGATAAATAATAATTTAATGAAATATCTTTAAAAAATTAAAATTAATGCAAAAAATCCACGATGAATAAAACATTAAAATTTTAATAAAGACAGGATCACATATGTACACCTATGTTCATTGCAGCATTATTCACAATAGCAAAAAGATGGAAACAGCCTAAGTGCCCATCAATGAAGAATGGATAAACAAACTGTGGTACACAGATACAATGGAATACTACGCAACTATAAAGAATAATGAGAAGTCCAAGAAACATCTTACTTATAACATGGATGAATCTGGAGGACACTATGCTGAGTGAAATAAGTCAATCACAAAAGGACAAATATTACATGATCTCACTTTTATAAAAAGTCAAGAAGAAGTATACACATGTTCTTTGATGGTTACCAGGGATGGGAGGGAGAGGGAGGGGGGAATCACTTTCTAGACAGTAAACATTTGTTATTTTTGGTAATGGGAAAGGCAATACCCAGTATGGGTGAAGTCTGCACAACATGACCAAGGCAAATGAAGACACTAAGAAGTATGCAAGAATAAGGGAAATTTCAGTAAATGCTATAAAATATATAATTTTGCAACAATATTAATAACCAAAAATATGAGTGGGGTTACATAGGTATATATTCATGCATATATGT